AAAAAAAAAAAAATGGTCAGTGGGTTCAGGTGTTGCTAATTAGGCCCTCCAGTTATGAAATTTGTCATCAGTCTAATAATGGATTTAGTGGTCATTTGTGATCATTATCTAAATGCTTTATTTCACTGAGTTGCAAAGTAGAATACTCTAATTGTATCATTCTTTATTGATTACCTAGAATTTTATAATGAAAAGAATCTCATCTTCAGCTAGTTTTCCTGAAATAATTTTTATATATAAAAGATAAAGTTTTAAAAATTATGAGATGGTTTCCTGGCATCTTAAAGGTGACCAGTTTTTATTTTTAGTTTTATTAGGGTTCATGATTTTTTAAAACTTATCATGTGTTTTAATCTATTATAATTATTATCCTTTTTTGATACTGAAATCCTCCCCTGACAGGCCAGTGGGAGGCCCTTCAAGTTGACTGACTCCTTTGTCCTTTTGGCAAAGCCCTTATAATTATTGATAGTCTTTGATTTTTGGCATGATGTGTTATTCTACAGTTGTACATTTCCTGTCCCAGATCTGAATCAACTGTTCTTTTTAGGAGCACTAGTTGCTTTTAGTGAGAAAGTAAATTTAGAAATTGCAATCATGGCATTAGGGTACAAAGCAGGAACATTTTTTAAAAATATTTTTTAGTGATAGACACAGTACCATTTATTTATGTATTTATTTTTAAAATATTTTTTATTAATTGTTGATGAATTTTTAAATTTTATTTATTTATTGGTATGTAGTTCTGAGAATCGAACCCAGTGCCTCACACATGCTAGGCAAGCTCTCTACCACTGAGCCATGATCCTAGCCCCCAAAGCAGGAACTCTTAACCATTAGTTTGGCAACTGTCCCTTTTCTTATTCTAATCAGAGGTATATTCAGTTTCAGTATGTACCTACTTCTGTGTCATAAGTGATCATCAAAGTGCAAATGAGTAGAATTCCAAAAATGTATAGATCAGTTGTTTTGAAAGCAGAAAATACACCAGTAGAAGCAATGTTATAAAAGTGGTTTATTTCCAAAGCTTGCTTCCTTTCTGGGCATGGTGGCCTACGCCTGGAATCCCAGCACTACCCTCAGCAATTCAGCAAGACTTTGTCTCAAATAATAAAAAGAGCTGGGGATGTGACTTGGTGGTTCAATCCCTAGTACAAAAAAAAAAAGAGAGAGAGAGAGAAAGAACCAAAACTAACTCCAAAGTGCATGTGACTGAGAGTCTACAAATTTTATGCTTTACTCCAGAAAATGCTGTATTCTGAATTCAAATTTGGGATGAATATCAAAATACATTTTAAGCATTACTGGTCCCAACTGAGGGGGGATAGGGCATCTTCCCTTCTTGTTCTGGGTCTATTTGGTCTTGGCTCGGAGGTCTGCCTTCATCTCACACATTCTGACTGCAATATGAACTTGTCCTCTGTTATGTATAGGCTCTGAATAGGGATGTCAGCTAGTATATGTGCACACATGCATGTGCACTGAGGATTAGTTTTTAAGGCATCTACGAGTGCACTGAACTTCCTGTAGTGACTATTCCCTATCCGATCTGGTACGATAGAGGCCTACGGAAAGAAAAGTGGGAAAAATAAAAGCCTCCATGGGCTGGGGTGCAAAAGCACATGGGAGGCACCGGGTTTGATCCTCAGCACCACATAAAGACAAATAAATGAAAATAAATTTTTTTAAAAAACCTCCGAAAGCATTTGTGCCTTAGCATTGGAAAAAAGGAAAATCTTCAACTCGTAAGTAAAGGATTAATTAGGGTACTGTCATCTTATTACGGAATTACCTCCATACCATTGTTAATGAACCAAATACAATGAATATTCCACCAAAATAAAAAACTCATGTAAATTATATATTCTATGGCGAATGCATATAAAAAATCAGCATCACATAATTTTTTAAAACATGTCTACTTTTAGATTTCCATGGTTGCATTTATAACTGCCACAAATGTGCCACTACTTCATCAACATGAAGAAGAGAAATTCTTCCTAAATGCCAAAGGTCAGAAGGAAACTTTGCCCAGTATATGGGACTCACCTACCAAACAACTTTCTGTTGTTGTGCCTTCCTACAATGAAGAAAAACGGTGTAAGCTTCATTTAACTTTTTTGGTAAGGGGAATTTGGGGGGAAAAGGAAATTTTTGAAGTGTTTTTGAGTTTGCTGTGTTTGCAGACATGGGCTGTGGTGAGTGCATTTTTGGTAACTATAGTACAGAAGAAGGAAACGGCACCATGAGGTAGTGGAACTGAAGTGTTCTAGGAAGGTAGTAAGATGAAGACAGATATTACAAATGAGAATGACTCTGGAGGGACTGTGAAATGAGTTATCAAATAAATTGGGACTTGTTCCATACATAAATGTAGTATGCTGGGGCTTGGTAACTAATTTTCAATTTTTTTTCTTTTAAGTGCCTGTGATGATGGATGAAGCCCTGGGCTACCTAGAGAAGAGACAGGTATCTTACTTTCTTTTTCAGTTTGATGTTTCCAGTTAAAACCAGACCAAGCTAGATGCACCATGGGAGACTGTACTGGCCACACTGATCCCTGAACCACCTTCTGGCTCCCTCTGCTAGCCATCAGCAGTACATAGGAGGCCACCTCCATAGGCCAGCCAGGAGGTGATACCCAGGACAAATCAGAAAACTGAAATTTCTCTTTGTGTATCCTCCTATCCACTTTTTATCCTCCTGGTGATGTATCTAAAGTTAAGTGACAGTGCACATCTGCACATTTTGTATGACAGAACAATGCAGTTTTTACTTCCGTAACTTTTTTAAAAAGAGGTATGTTTTTAAAAGACTTCTTTTAGATTGAAATTCTTTTGTTTCTTTATTATTCTCTAAAGCTCCCCTCTCAGGTATTTTCACCTTTTTTCTTCATGAAGACAAGAAAGTAACACATACCCTTTGTTTATAGCATTAATTGTCTTTAGAATCCTTGGAAAGGCTAAGAATTAAGTGAGCTTTATAACTTGGTTTTTTGTTTGTTTTGTTTTTTATTGTTTTATGGGGTTTTAGAAAATTCTTCATTTTGATTTACTTTACTTTGGGAGTTTTTTGTGTAAAAGGAAGAAAGCAGACTTGTTAAAAGAAAGGGAACTGTTACCTACTTAAAAATTAAATTTAGAGAAAAAAGAAAGCAGAGTGAGCCCTTAGTATGTGTGAAGTATCTACCTCTTCTATTACATATGATCTTTATGTCAGCCACGTGAATTAGAAAATGGGCCAAAAAGTTAAGGTGCCCATGGTTATAAGACTAAGGAGTGGTCCAACCGTTGGAATATGCTCTCTCCAACTTCAGTCTTCCTGGGTTTTTTCCCCATACACTTGTAGCCTCTCTCCAGTGGGCCTTAGCACCAAAAGTACCTGGCTTCTATCTGTACATATTAACACTAAAACAGTTGTTTCTTAGTTATAGTTTTATTAAAATTCTTGACTATTGTGCCAGTTTATTTTTTCTTCTTGCAGAAACAAGATCCTTCATTCACTTATGAGGTGATAGTAGTTGATGATGGCAGTAAAGACCAGACTTCAAAGGTAAATAATGTGTTCTTAATCTTGCCAGTAGGTAGAAAATCTGGATTAATTTAGTACATATGAAATCTTTCTTTAGTTAAAGCTGTGCCTAGTACTGTCTGATATTATAGTGTGGGAAGTAGGAAAAAAAAAACAGATTTTATTTATTTATTGGTACTGGGGATTGAACTCAGGGGCTCTCAACCACTGAGCCACATCCTCATCCCTATTTTGTATTTTTATTTAGAGACAGGGTCTCACTGAGTTGTTTAGCGCCTTGCTTTTGCTGAGTCTGCTTTGAACTCATGATCCTCCTGCCTCAACCTCCCCAGCCACTGGGAATATAGGCGTGCACCACTGTGCCTGGCTCAGATTTTATTTATGGAAAATACGTTTATTGTTCCACTGTTTCACGTGGTTAGGGAGGCTTTGAAGATCACCAGATAGGGTGGGAATATACCCAACCACAGTTCACTGTGGCCTCTTTGCCCACAAATTTGTACTTCCTTTTTTCCCTAAGTGTGATTTCTTTGTATTCCACCCTGACTTACAGATTTCTAAAGCTGTCATTACAAATAGGAACCTCTCCTCATATCTGCCACTGGGTTCAAGTATGCCCTTTGGCAGGCTTCATCATGATTTATCTCTGGGAGGTCTTACCTCTGGGAGATTTCCCTCTCACGTCTATAATCCTAGGACGCTTATACCAGAGTTCGTGAGCCAGAACTTGGAGAAAGGGCTACTGACTTACTTAGAAGCTTGGGAAGTACTTGGCAAAGATTTAGATCAGTTAGGATTCATTCCCTAGGACCGTACACATTGTCACTGTGCAAGATTGTGGCCACGTCTGCAAGGAAAAAGGGAACATGCATAGTTAGTTGGGCAACTAAGTAATGGTAACTGTCATGGTACTCCAGTAGGAGTACATATAAGGGTCCATGGCCACATTTGTTCGATGAGAATATGCTCTCTCAGGCACTACAAATACAGCTGGCCCTTCATATCTGTGGGTTCCACGCCTGCAGATTCAACCAACCATTAATTTGAAAATACTTTTTAAAACTTGCATCAGGGACTAGGGATGTGGCTCAGTTGTAGAGTGCTTTCTTAGTATGCTTAGGGCTCTGGGTTCAATCCCACCACACACACTCACACACACACACAAATGCACCTATACTGAATATGTGTAGAGTTTCTTTCCTTGTGATTATTCCCCCCAAAATATAGTATAGCAACTATTTTGCATAGTGTTTGCTTTGTATTTAGTACTATAAGTTGATTTAAAGTGTACAGGAAGATATGTGTAGGTTTTGTTCAAACAGTATGCCATATTATATATGGGATTTGAGCATCCTTGGATTTCAGTATCCTGGGAGGTCCTGAACAAATCCCTGTGGAAAATGAGGAATAAATGTATTAACTTTTACCTTTAAGTAAGTCACTGCTGTGGAGGAAGACCTATTATGTGATAAGTAACAGTTGAATGGGAAAATACTTTTGGAGCAAAAGCAACTACAAAATTAGTGTTAAGATTATACTTTTTGAGAGGCTGGGGCTGTGGCTCAGTGGTAGCGCGCTTGCCTAGCATGTGTGAGGCATTGGGTTTGATTCTCAGCACCATGCATAATTAAAATAAATGTCCATCAACAACTAAAACATTTTTTTAAATTGTTTTTTAAAAATAAAAAAAAGATTATACTTCTTGGGGCTGGGGTTGTGGCTCAGTGGTAGAGTGCTCGCCTAGCATGCACAAGGCACTGAGTTCGAGCCTCAGCACCACATAAATGTAAAATAAAGATATTGTGTCTACCTAAAACTTAAGAGTAAATAAATAAATAAAGATTATACTTCTTTTTTGGCTGGCTCACACCTATAATCCCAGCAACTCAGGAGGCTGAGGCAGAAGGATCACGAGTTCAAAGCCATCCTTAGCATTAGCGAGATACTTAGCAACTCAGCAAGACCCTGTCTCTAAATAAAATATTTAAAAGGTCTGGGGCTGAGGCTCAGTGTTGTTAAGCACCCCTGGGTTCAATCCCTTGTACCAAAAAGAAAAAAAAAATGATTATACTTCTTTTTTCCTGGAAAAATTGAGGACGAGCATGGAAGCCAAGAAAAAGAACTGGTATTTGAGCTAAATCTAATCTGGCCTGACAGGTTGACATAAAGGAAAGCATGTTCTAGGGAAAGGTTTAAATATGTTCTGGAGACCTCAAAACTGCTGATACACAAAGTGCTAATGCAGCAACATGGAGAGCTGAGGCTAAAAAGGTTATGTGAGGCCCACATTGCAGAGGGTTTCATATGCCATGATGAGGAACTCCTTTTAAAAAGTAGGTCATCATGGAGACTTTTTGAACAGGGCTTCTAAGAATCGATTTATTTTCATATTAGAAAGGAGAGTGAATTAGGGAGGCAAGAGACATGGAGACTTCAGGGGATAGGATCTATGGAGTCAAGAGGCAATTCTATTCTATTTTTATACTATTTTATTCTATTCTCAGTACTAGGAGTTGAACCCAGGGGCACTCTACCACTCAACTACATCCCCAGTTCTTTTTATTTTATTTTGAGATAAAATCTTGCTAAATTGCTCAGGCTGACCTCAAACTTATGATCCTTCTGCCTCAACCTTTAGAGTAGTTGAGATTATAGGTGTCATCACCACACCTGGCTCAAGAGGCATTTTAGAATCAAATTGTAATAGATGATAGAATTGGAAAATGAGTCTCAGGTTTTTAACTTGAGCTAAATGATGATGCCATTTGCTTTATGAGAAATTTAGAATGAGCAAAAGTAGGAGCAGATGATTGAAATTCTGGAATTTTTGTATCTAATATACATCTAGGTGACAAAGGGAAGAAGTCTGGACTATAAACATGTGAGATCTTAAACATAATATAAGCAGTAATTAAACCCATGTTAAGTAATTAAACCCATTGTGCTTATTTGTTGAGAAGTGACCAAAGACTGCACATAAGCTATGCAGTTGTACAATGTAGGGTACTTGGGGAATTTTCAGCATTAAAGAAGCAAGCCACAGAAAAGAAGTTAGTGATGAAAATGAAAAGTTACAGTTAGGGGAGAAGGGAAAATGCCAGATGAGAATAGCTTCTTAGCTGTCTACAAAAAAATGATTGTCAAAAGGAAAGGGGTGAGGGCGCCTTCAGTGGGACAACATTGGTAGAACGGGGATGTGGGGAAGCAAAGGGCATGAGCCATGCTATAACAGATGAAGAAATGCAGGTAGCAAATGTAGATTGCTGTTTGACTTTTTTTTGGCAGGGGTAGAGAGGGTTGGTGCTAATTAAACCAAGGACAAGCTAGGCAGGCACTCTACATGTGCTACATCCCCAGCCCATAACTTTGATTATAAATCAGAGTAATGGTAATTGCTTAAGTGAATAGTGAAATTTTAACAATTAAAAAAAAACTTAGGATGCTGGAGGCTTAAGCAAGCTTGTGCAGGAGTCAGTGGAAAAGAAGAAATAAAAGATTTCAAAGAAAAGGACAAGTTATAGTGTCCTTTTCTACTGAGAGGAATTTGAATGAAAATTGGGAGAGGGGCTGGGGTTGTGGCTCAGTGGTAGAGTGCTTGCCTAGTATGTGTGAGGCACTGGGTTGATCCTCAGCACCACATAAAAATAAAATAAAAGTTCATCAACAACTAAAAATATATATTTTTTTTAGAAAAAGAATTGGGGAAAATAGTCCAGGGTACAGAAAACTTCTCTTGTAAATAAGATAAATTACTCACTAAAATAAGTAAACAAGTCATGAAACAGCATCAAGGGCCCTGTCACAAGTTTGAGTTTTTTTGGCAAGGGTAGGGTGTTGCAGTTAACACATGGCTTTCCTTTTTTGACAGCTCAGCTTAGGTCAAGGAGTCAGGAAGAGACAGTAGCTATCTATTCTGCTGGGTCTTTGTGAGGAATTATATTGTGATTTCAGTGACTAATAAGTGGTTCATTGTTGTATCTTGGCTCCAGGAGCTCTACACTCTGGACTGCCAATGTGTACAGTGGGTAGAATCTAGTCACAAGAAAGGGTAAAAAAAAAAAAACAGAGTTACAGTGTTTGAGTCCAAATGAAAAACCCAGTTTATATAATTTTTGGAATCCAAGTTGATTTTCAAACTTATTTCTTTATTTTTTTATTAATATATATTTTAAATTGACACATAGTAATTATACATGTATGTGGAATACAATGTGGCATTTCATTAACATATATAATGTGTAATAATCAGATCAGGATAACTGGCATATATATCACCCCAGACATTTATCATTTTCCAGTTAATTTTATTCTGACTTTTATATAATTTGACAGGTAGCTTTCAAATATTGTCAGAAATATGGAAGTGACAAAGTACGAGTGATAACACTGGTGAAGAATCGTGGAAAAGGCGGAGCTATTAGGATGGTAATATATACTTCAAATTTTTATCTAAAATGGAAAGGTATTTTGAACAACTTCTTTTGCAGATTGTAATACTGGCTGCATGAATACCAATATTTTGAGTTAGCTACATTATGTTTTTAATAATAACTTTATATATCTTAATCAAATCTGAACTTCATGTCATATCTGTAACATACTGCCTGATTCACAAAAATATCTTTGTTTGTCTTAAAGTTTAAAATGTTATACCTCTGTGCGTGTTTGACATATTTACCAAATAATAAGATTATGTTGTTTTTTTTTTTTTACATTTTACACAATGTTTTTGTGTATTAAGTTTTACCTGCTATGAAGGTAGTATATTGAGATTGGTAGCATGAACCAAGGTAAATCCTACATGGGTCTCTCCTAATGGAATCTACAATCTATTAGGAAAGATAAGCATTTTGATAAGTGAAAAAGACTTAGAAATGAAGTATAGATGAAGTGCTAAGAAGGTCCCCGTCAAAAGAGTCTACTTTCAGCTGAGACATTTCAGGTAGAGATTAAGTTACAATGAAAGTAAAATAAAAAATCTAGAGAACTGAAAGAAAATTTGGATAACATAGTGGCTTAAATGACTTTGAGGTTTATTTTTTCCCCTTGAAAAGAAGGCTTGTTTGTTCAGTAGCTCTATGGTGTCATCAGGAAACTGGGCTCCTCCCTTTTAGCCATTGCATCCACATTCCAAATTGGAAGGGGGAAAGATGTATGCCAGCAAGTTTGCCCCCTTTTGAGGAGCTTTCCCAGAAGCTCCACTCAATAACTTTTGTTTACATCTCATGAGCCAGAACAATATCATGGGCAACCCTATTTCCAAGGAATACTGAGAATTTTTTTCTAATATTTTCATTCCCAACCAAATTAGAATTACATTCAAAAGCAAAAACGAAAGAGTGATTCTTGGGTAGGTAACTAACAGTCTCAGCCACTTGAGGAAAATAGCCAATATCACAAAAGAGGTGTCACTGAGGCTAGGTCTCTGGTGATGGTGAAACTAGGTTCCATTTACTTACTGATTGCTTATTTTGAACTGCAGAGTAAATTAACCACCTCAACATAATTATCTTTTTTTTTTTTTTTTTTT